GTGTCGGCGGTGTCTGAATCGACTTGCTGACGTCGTCTGTTCGGTCCCTCATCCTCCGCCGTCAGTCAGCAACCGCCCATCTCAGCAGCAAAACATCGTCACAATGCAACAGCTGCCGTCACGACGACCACTTCAATAAGCGGACCGATTCAGCTGAATACAGGTCTCATCACTGTTCTCTTGAGCTTTTAGTGATTTTAGTGAATGCTATTAGCTATTATTAGTTCTTCATTGGAAGGAACCTTTACTGATTTATCTACTCTTTGCGGGCACTCTACAAAGCTTTTGGTTGCCTCATCTTTTCTTCTTCTCTTTTTACTTTTAACATTCCTTGAATTGTCTCAAAAATCAACGTCTTCTTCTTCATATCGTAAAATTCCGCATTACAAGAGCGAAATTGTAAGCAATTATCGATTTTTTTGACGAAGTGTTTCCTACGGATTTATAGATTTCTCCCCCCTAATTTCGTTCATTTCATTTCAGCACAGTGACGAAAAACGCGGCGATGACGTTCTCGGATGAGGTGAGTTTGTACCTTCATCATCCAGAAACAAATATTTGTTTTCGAAGAAAAAAACGAGGCTTTTAATTTAAGAGGCACGACGAGAGATATAATTTAAGGCACGAGGTACGATGTGCGATAAACTAGCATGAACAAGATTTTTATCAAGAATTACTTTTTTCACTAGTTTCTAATTCTTATACAAAGAATCCCTCCCAAAGGTTTACCCCTTCATCGTGGATGCAAGGTGTTCGTGGGTGTCGAGCTGCGATCTACAGCGAGGAATTCATCCTCAGGCAGGGTCTCCCAAGCCGAGGAGTATGGCGTTTCCACCATGAAAACTAGCGAAGACTCCAGCTAAACCAATGCTAGAATCTACCACCGTTTTGGTATCAAACTGGTCACATGTTGTCAAGTCTCTCCCTGATCCACGGCGACGGTGACTTTCTGTGGTGGTGACGACCTGGGGCAGACTTAGGCTAGGGTGACGTCGGGATTCCAGGGAACGACAGCAGCTAAACCAGCAAATCTCTGAAAAAATGGAGATTATGCTGAGGATCGCATAACCAGTGACGACGAGCCACCCAAGCATCTAAGTATTCAAGTATACAGAGAATGTAAACTTATCCAGAATCCAATTTTACGAATGAAAATCAACCCTATATGGATTAAAATGGGTTCCGAATAGTGTTGAAAACCAGCCTAAAGCTACAACGGTTTGCAGGAATGAAGTGGTACAATGCTTATTTGAAAATTTCTTGATGGAGAAGATTAGTCGTAATGACGAAGAGGATCGCCATTGTTATTTATAACTCTTGTAGTAAATCTAATGACCGACTTTCTCTTAAGCTCGTCATCAACCAATATATCACTGCTTTCCTCGATGGGCAAATGCGAGATTGTTATTATAGTAATTCTTAATACATAGTAGCTGACGTTTAAGCGGTTTCCCTTCATCAAAGCATGGAAAGGTTAAATTGATACACGCAGCCCGCGGTCAAACACTTTCATAAGCTGAGCAGACGAAGCAGTACATAAATGATTAGTCGCACAGTGAACAGCTTGCCTTAAACACTCAGCTTCTTAAGACTTTAGAGCAAAAGAGCACTGTCATGAAATATTGTATTAGGCAGAAAATAAAAAGTTAACAGTGCGATTTCAACTACAGCCTCAGTTTAACTGGGCACGTTGCCGCTTTGTGCTACCCAGATCAATCCCATTGATGGGTGATTGGTGATGGCACTGATCGATAGAATTAGATAAGAGACAGGCGAAACGAAGGATCCGCATCGCATGGTGTGGTGGTGAACGCGTCAGCACTGGAAAGGATAATGGCACGTTCGTTCTCCATCGCAGGCACCTAGGGTCCGAAGTTTTGCAAATATCTCAGCATCAAAACGATGGGTGTTTAGGAAAAGCTGTTCGCTATGCGATCAATCGTTTACGTATTGTTTTACTTGCTGCGGTTATGATAGTGCTTGAAAGCGGATTGGGTGTCAATTTGACTCTTCCGGGCAATGAAGAAGGCCAAACCGCCGAAACACCACTATTGCACATTAGTAATTGCTATAATAACAACATCGTATTTGCTCATCAAGGTAAGCAGTGAAGCATTTGGAACTCAGTTTAGAACCTTAGTCGAAATTTTTTCGTGTTAATGATAACTTTGACATAAACCTTACCTCTGAAACAGATCTCAGGAATCGGTGTAGCTCTACGAACTGATTTAGAACGAACTGAATGCAAATAGAGGGTTTGGTTTGCTCGAAGCGCACAGTGGAACCAATTACCACGTGTGGTTTGTAGGTTACACTTCCTAGCATTGCGTTACACATGCTTTGTTGATGACAAAGCGCTGAATTACCTCGAATAATTGCGAAAAAAATTATAATAATAGTTCTTGTTAGTGGATTCCTGATTCCAGAAGGATGTTGTTGTTAATATGTTTTTGAATTTGATAAAACCGTAACAATAAAGAAACTTATAACAGTATACGAAAAGACGCCTGTGGTGCAGTGATCGGAGGCGCCCTGCAACATACACGTGGAATCGATCTCGCCGCCCATGGCCCACCAAGCCCTCCATCCCTTCGCTGTCGGCAAATTGGTACTAGACTTGTCTGGAGGATAGCGGCACTGGCTCGAAACATCGGTAGGCCACCACGAGTCATTGCAAAGGCCAGTTATCCATTCAATCACCACCAAGTGACGATCGAATACATGGCGTATCCCTCAGGGATTGATCAACGCCGGGAGCTTTAACCTTTATTCTTTTAAAATAATACACAGCTTTGTTTAGTAAGAAAAGACTAGAGTTTTTCCACTATAGCTGAAACGAATTGAACTGTGAACAAACACTTTGACATTCAACATCTTTCCGAATGTCTTCACCACATCACCTTTTACCTCTACTTTTTAATCCTGGCTCCTTTAAATGATGACGAGCGATTTGCTATGCAAAACACTTGTTTAATCAAAACGTTATCGTTGCTCCTATCTTTTTACTGTTGTTGTTTTCTTTTTACTAGTAGTACGGCCGATATTGTTCGTTTTCTGGAGGGGGGAGTTAATATCTACTGAAATGAACGTAGTTACCAACTGTTCAACCATTACAGAATTTTATACATAGCAAGAACACTTTAAAAAGTTCAGTATGTTTTTACGTTTTTTCTAATTCTGTTGTATTACCCACAATGACACTGAGATATTTGCAAAACCGACCCCAGACTTCCTTTGTATCCGTAATTCCTCTTCTCAAGGGCTCACGTTTAGCACACCGTATCACTGAGGCCCCATCTTGTCCTTTCTCTTAGCCAGTCTTTTACCCTAACGGTGCCATCAGCCATCACCTGTCAACGGAAATAATCTCGAGAGGTGAGCTTGGTGTCCAAGTTTTGAAAATACCTCATCTTTATAGTGGCTGTATTTCACATCATACTCTTCCGTATGGGCGCAGTGGTCGGAGACGCCTTGCAACACACGTGGAATCTATTCCAGCGCCCATGACCCAGCCTTCTATCCCTCCGGTCGGAAAATTGTCTGCGAAGATAGCAACACTGGCTCGATACATCGGTAGGCCACCGCGAGTCATTATAAATGCCAGATATGCATTCAATCACCTCCAAACGATGCTTAAATAACTCGAATGCATCGCGCATCCCTTAGGGATTGATCGACGTCGAGAGCTTTTTTATCCTTTTACCTTTCCGAGAGAAATAACAATGGGCAATAAATGAAAAGTCAAATATTGTGATTCTGACTACAGCTTCAGTTTAACTGGGTTTATCGCCGATTTGTGTTTCCCTGATCATTTCCGTTGACGGAAACGCTGATGGCAGAGTTAGGTTGAAAATTTGCTGAGAGAAAATTAGAGATAGGGCCTCAGTGGTGCAGTGGGTAACAGGTGAACCCTCGAGTACGGTAGTTGCGGGGTTCGATTCGGGCCTGTGGTTTTCAATTATCTCAGCCTCACTGTATGCTGGAATGGTTCTGATTAAAGAACTATCTGTGCTTAGTACTGAAGAAGTAATGCAACAGTGTAAAAGGGGCTGCTCGTAGGGCCACTTTCACAAAGTTCATTTCTGTGGCTGGACTTAGTTCAAACTTTTTAATGTCTAGAAGGTTTTCTACATGTCGAAAATCTTTGTGAGGGTACACTGCGTCATTTACAGTATTCCTTGTGCATGTTTGTGTATGTTATGTTCTTTAATATTGAAGCTCTCATAACTTCACTATTGCTAAGGCAAACATTTAAGTCAAGTACTTAACTAACACAAGACATAATAACTCCTTAATAAGTGTAAGGAAATTAAGATTAAGAGGCCACCTCCATTTTTGATGTGTGCTAGGTGCTTGGTCGGGTAAATGAGGAAAACTGCTTGGAGAAAACTAAATAATACGTGACATTTTACAAGCCTTTCCACTACAAGGATGAAGGATAAAATCTTCAGCCTTCGCAAATCCTTGCAAGATTCGCCACTCATTCGACTTCTTCATTCATCGTTAGTGGTGATTGGACGTATATCTGGAACATACAGTGATTTACGGGGCTTGTCGATGTATCTTCACAAATCCATGACGGATTCTCCACGCACTCGACTTCATCGTGCATCATTAGTGTTGATTGAACGCATATTTGGAATATACAGTGACTTAGAAAGCGTATGGGTGTATCAGTTTAGTATTTTTTGCCACAAAGACAAGTCTGCTAGCAATCTGCCCTATCCCGAAGGAATGAAAGGTTTGTGAGCCCGTGGTTCGGGATCATCGAATCAATGACAGATCTAATGTGAATTACAAAGTACCTGTAACCACATCGCTGCACTCACAATCTTTTCCGCTAAGCAGATGATATCTAATAAAGAACAGTAAGAGGTAAAAAATGATGACAAGACAACTGAATGTTGTTCTTCAAAGTGATTTCGGTGATTCCAGCTTAATCCCTCCTTTCATGGGCGTTTTGCCACTTCCTTGCTTCACCCAAATATAATTTTCCTTGATTTTCACAGAAGTTTATGTATCCAGCAAGAAACCAGCCAGAAGACTTTTATCGAAATATCGCTCCTTTCTTCAATGAAAAAGGTTACGCTTTTTATGTAAAAGAGACCCAGGGTTATTAACATAAAGCTAATAAAGGACAAAGCTCTCGGCGTTGATCAATCCCTGAGGGATGCGCCATGCATTCGGCTTCATTAAGTGTCGTTGGAGGTGATTGAATGCATATCAGGCCTACACAATGACTCGCGGTGGCCTACCGATGTTTCGAGCTAGTGGTGCTATCCTCCCAGACAGGTCTGGTACGAATTTGCCAGTCCCGGAGGGATGGAGGGGTTGGTGAGCCATGGGTGCGGGGATCGATTCCACGTGTGTGTTCCAGGTCATCTCCGACCACTGCGCCACACGCGCCCTGGGTTATAAACATGCACTTGCGAAACTGAGGTCATAACGAACTCATAAATAAAATACAAATAAAATACGTTTGAATAAGAAACTTACTGCTTTTTCCAGCTGATTTCTATTGGTGCGGTTGTGTTTGTGTGCATTTCGTTTTCAATATTCTGTGGATTGATCTGGTTACTACGATGCCGCCGAACTCGACAACGATTTAAAGGGAATCAAACGGATCGGCAGATGGACGTCGAATCGTTTAAAGAGTAAGCTACTATTAAATATTGTTAAAAATAAGCCTTCATACTACTAGTTGTAGGGTTCGAAGTGTTTATTTATTTATATGACCTTTCATTACATATGGTGAGGATCGCAGAAGTTCTTCTATTCGGTTTGTTCTGCTTGTTTTCATGCCTCCATCAGCCACGCGAGATTTTGGATTTGCTGGTTGATTCGCCGACCACTTCCGGACATTGCTTTCAACACGAATGTCAATGAATGTTGATCGAGTTGATTTTTCCTGAAATTCTAGGATAGCTCTACTAGATCGTATCCATGTCTCCACTAGAGCTTTCCGGACCCTGGGTGGTTAGGTCACGGTTTTCGTGGATTTGAAATATGCTTTTTGAAAATCCATGGCAATTGAATTGTTCTAGATATAAGGTAATCTGGTGTTTTACTTGTTTCTCAGTCATGTCTTAGGACTCCGAGCAAGTTGCTTCAGAATGTATCAAGCTACTGGGAAACGCAAGAGAATTGAAGTTTTGTGTATATGTACAGCTTTAATCATTGCTGCAAACAACATGTATGGAAACTTTTTTATAGATCCCTTAAGTGCCAAGTTTCTCCATCTTCCCGTGTCTTCTTTTTCTATGTTCCGCTTGTTGGTAAGGGATCTATCTACTTGGTTCACAGTCCCTTGGTCAACAGTATTACCAATCTGCATGCAACAGATGGACTAGCAGATTTTCCTGCGAAGGAGAAAGTACTGTCTAGTCCAATCATTAGCTATTGCACGATATGTCCAATTTTCTATAGTTAGTGCCTCAGAGAATTTGAAAATGGCGATATTTCCTTCGTAGGACTAGTGAACGTCATCTACTTAGTGCTTACCATTTATTAGGTTGTTCGGAAATAAATGGGTCTTTTTAATTGTATTATTTCAAATGTCATGACTTGCTTCAAACACAACTTTATTAACCAAAATAAGCAGCATTGCATCTGCACATTTTTAATAACAGGAAGCGGGTTTGGGCCTTTTGTTTGCCTAAAATTCTGGTGCTCTGGAAGCGACGAATTCATTGAAGGCATTTTTTTGCGTCATCGTCGTTTGTGAAGCATTTTTTGAGCAGGAAGTTTTCAAGCTGCTTGAAGAAGTGGTATTCAGTAGGCGAGAGGCATGGCGAATATGACGGATGAGAAAAAGTTCCGTAGTCCAACTCGTCCAACCACTGAGGAGCTGATTTTGTAACGTGAGGCCGGGCGATGCCGTGGAGAAGGATTGGTCCTATTCTGTTGACTAGCGCCGGTCGTCGTTGTTAGAGTTTACGGCGCATTTGGTCTATTAGCTGGCAATACTTCCCTTCCGTAATTGTTTCGCCCGGTTTCAATAAACTCTAATCAATGAACCTGGCTGCAGACCACCAAATAGCCGCCATGACCTTTTCTCGGACAATTTCAGCTTTTGGAAGTGCTGTGGAGCCTGATCTCAATCGAACCATTGAGCTGAACGTCGCCGGATATCGTACAGAATGCAATTCCCGTTACACATCACAGTTCGATCAAGAAAAAGGTCGTTTTTGTTACGCAGGATAAGAGCAGACGACATTTCAAAACGGCGATTTTTGATTATCGTTTAATTCGTGGAGCACTCATTTGTCAAGTTTTTTGTCTTTCCTATGCGATTCAAGTGAGTGGAAGTTGTTCCTGTGCTTACGCCAAACCGTTCTGCAAGCTCTCAAACAGTTGCTCTCGTGTTTGCTTCCATTAGTGCCTTCAGTTCGCCCTCGACATGTTCATTGGGACGTCTGCGGCCTTCGTTATCTTCGAGGTCGAAGTCACCAGATCGCAATTTTGGGAACAATGTTCGCACTGTTGATTCACTAACACTGCCATCACCCGAAACCTCGTTAGTGTTTCGAGCCGTTGCTGCTGCACCCCGACCGAGTTCGAACTCATTGAAGAAAATTTGACGGAAATTCTTTTTTGAGATCTAAAATCGCAAAGCTCAAAATTGGTAAAAACATTTAACTTTTGACAAAATATACGAAGATTTTAAAACGAGCACAAAATAACTTTTTTAATTATATATAATTTTGCAAGGTACAAAGATTATTTCTCGGTAAAAATACATTGAAACGACAAATATTTCAAAACGGTAATTTGTTTCCGAACAACCCAATATTAATTAGTTCACTTTTTCCTTCTATGTGCTACTGCTAGTAGCGGTGATTGTCGAATTTTCGCCATATCGGCCATTTTTCCTATTAGTTACTCACTTACTTGAACGGTCCATCCTCACTGATTGCGCGGGCCCCAGCATAATCACCATTTTTCGGAGATTTGCTGGTCAAGCCACCATGGTTCCCCGGACTCTCAAGGTCAGCCTGGCCAAAGTCTGCTCCAGGTCTTCACCACCACGGGCAGCCGCAGCACCCGCGGATCAGCGGGAGACTCACCATCATGCTACTTTGATACCAGGACGGTGGTGGATCCTGTGGATCCTGGTATTGGTTTACTCTTAGCTAGGCTTACTGATGGAAACACCGCTTTTTTTTATTTTTTTAAAAGTTTTTTCCTATTGAATGATGATTTTAAAGAATTCTAATTTTAGTAATCCACCCAACAAAGCACTTTCGAAACGAGCAGTTTCCGACACCGTCATTCAACCAAAGCGAGCTGAAACTAGGCAGGGCGAATCAAACACCGAAAAGCTTAAAGGTTCCACCAATGCTCCTGAGGAACAAACTGAGCGGAAAGATGTAAATTCTATATTATGTTAAGTCGTCTACAACGCTCTTGTTATAGAAATAATCATTCACAGGTCTCGTTCAAAACATAATGGGTCAAATGCATTGGTTATAATACATACGTTACGAAAATAATTGTCACACGGAACTTTGAACCAATATATCCCATATTTTGTGCTTTGCTGAACGGAGATAAAAACGATTGAAATCTATAGATCTTTGTCAATAAGCTATAGGTTTTCTAGTCTCTAATGGCAATGTGCTACTTCTATAGAGCTATTTCATCCGTTTTTCATTACTCAGGCTCATATTTCGAAAAATAGGGATACTAAACAGCCGGAATGTTATAAGTCAATATACGATGGTGACGTTTGCTGATCTTTGAGCTACCGTACTTGCACATGGTGTTTTGACAACCTAAATTTCGTTCCGAAATTTGAAATTTATGCAAAGTTCAATTTGAAAATTTTTTCAAATGAAGAGAGAGTTTGTAAAGATTATCACTGACCTTGAAGCGATAGAACAAAGCTTCTTATGCAGATCTATGAGCGCGTGTGACGCAGTGGTTGGAGGCGCCACTGCGACACACACGTGGAATCGATACCCGCGCCCATGGCCCACCAAGCCTTCCATTCCCCGGGGACGGCAATTGGTACCAGAATTGTCCGGGAGGATAGTAGCACTGGCTCGATACATCGGTAGGCTACCGCGAGTCATTGTAAAGGCCAGATATGCATTCGGTCACCTCCAACGATGCTTAATGAAGTCGAATGCATGTTGTATCCCTCAGAGATTGATCGACGCCGAAAGCTTTATCCTTTTTATTTTTTTATACAGATCTACTAAAATCAGAACGACTCAGCTGGGCTAGTTATCGAACTTTTTTACCAGATTGTTTATGGGTTGAGCCTGATAAGACAACTGGAAGTGACAAGGGAACGAACAGTGTCATAAATAGCTCAGTAGTTTACGGTATTTGCGACGTTACAAGGCTAGAGAAATTGCTTAACCACGTATTATCATTTAAGCCAGCCAAGAGGGATTATCCTTATGACATTTTTAGGACTTATGCTTTTATTGAATGAGATTTCTTTTGGTTAGAAAGTTTTAGATTTGAAAATTTCATTAATCAAGTGGTAGTTGCAAACTACGCTTCTATATGACTTCTCGTTCTATCTTTGTCAGAAAAAATATTTATTACCTCTTTTCTCATTTTAGCTCGAAATGCGGCAAATTCAACCATGTTTGCCTAAGCAGGTGAAACGAATTAAAAACGAGTCTTCAGCTACCGGAAATGTTGGTGTCTTTTTCTCTTTTTAGTTCTCAAATTTCCCCACTGGTAGCGTACTTATCTAGAACTGTCATGTCTGTTCCTTTTTGAAAAGCTCAAAGCCTATTACACGGTAGTCCATCATCAAATCAAACACTGTTCAAGATGACGCCGTAACGACGTGCCATGTTCTGTTATCCATTTCGTGGATGGTACCACCACCATTGACCAACATGACAGCTACTTCCCAATTCTGCTAACCAAGTTAATTTTAGCTTATGGATTTCTCTACACTATCGCTTTAGTAGCGAATCTAGCAGTTAAAAGTACCGTGCAGTATACATGGAGTCATTGGCTCGACACTGCGCTTTGGGTAAATGAACCCATCCATTCCTCTGGGCTCGAAAAATTTTGGTCATCCTCTTCTGGGTGAATGGAACTGCCAACATGATATATTCCTAGGCCTTCTTAAGTTATTTCGTAGGCTATATATGCTTCCAGCCATCTCTACAATGCTATGAATGAAATAATGTACAAAGTGAGTCCTCATTGGATTGTTGAACACCGAACACTTTATGCATTGTCGTTTCTATGGTCTAGTTTAATCCTTGCCATTTGTCCGGACGCTAGCGGATTGGTTCTTTTTTTCCTAAACTACCTTGATAGACACAATGGTGTTCCCAAACCAGAACTATAAGAGGGCTTTGTGTAATTGAATTTCGTCACATTTCGACTATTGCGCTCCTGGAAGTAAGTGCGAAACTCGTTCTCACCCTAAGTGTCTCTGACAAATGATGTATGCCATCCTTACCATCGCAGTTAGATACTAATAACACTCCTGCCTTTGTTTCAAGATATGGTTGTATGTGGGCAAACGGGGCAGAATGATTGAAGTCAGTAAAACAAAAAACAGATACATTAGAAACCGACTTTCATTAAACCTGGGCAACAATAGAAAAAGGATAGAGCTCTCGCCGTTGATCAATCCCTGAGGGGTGCGCCATGCATTCGACTTCATTAAGCGTCGTTTGGAGGTGACTGAATGCATATCTGGCCTTTACAATGACTCGCGGTGGCCTACCGATGTATCGAGCCAGTGCTACTATCCTCTCAGACAAGTTTAGTGCGAATTCGGCAACCCTGGAGAGATGGAAGGCTTGGTAGGCCATGGGTGCAGGGGTCGATTCCACGTGTGTGTTGCAGGGCGCCTCCCACCACTGCGCCATATGCACCTTTTGGTAACAGTAATAAATAAAATTCTATATGGTTGAGCTAATACTTTCGACACCTTTGCCTTCCTCGGTGATCCGCGCTGATCGGTGTCAACCGTCCACAGTTGGTAGTTGTCACATCGAGTCGAATTCACGGGTGGGAGCAGCACTCGGATGGTTAACTTCACTCAGTGATGCCCTTCTATATAGTATGGATGTTTATGGACTCTCGCCTCCAATATAATCTACTTGGGTGGGTAATGCGTCCTGTAGCAGTCGGCAGTTCAATTGCTGGCATGTGGCGTGGCAAACAATACCTTTAAAACCGACTTTCGTTGAACCTTGAGAAGAATAATCAATAATGTGGAAGGCGAACCGAAACGGTAGCCAGATAAAAGTTTTATGCCAAACTCGTCCATGTTAGCTCAACTACATAGAAGAAAAGAATGGATAATTCGAAGTTTTCGAAATTTGATATACCAAAGAAAGGGCTGACGAGTTTTGACAAAGGA